TTCTGATCTAGCATGGGGTTGTCATTTGAAAGTGACATGATTATAAGCAATTGTGAGAATGAGGTAATGGGTTAACCACTTGATTATGATATTTATAACGTGCACAGATTTCTTTAACTCTTCGTAATTTTTATTGGTGTGAAATCCTGTGTCTGCATAAATAAACTTTAAATTCTTTAAATTTAGTTTTTGGTTTACTTACTTATCATCCTTACATGCACTTTTTAAGATTCAGAATCTGCAAATCAGAGTTTGCTAATGCAGTCTCCTTCAGTATGTTTACATCTGTAAGAAACCATACCTGCTACTTAAAAATTGCATTGATATCTATCAGTTCGTACAGTTTGGAAAATAAAGCTATACCTTTTGACATTTTATTTGTAAAATTATATTTAATATAGGCAAAAGCTTCTACATAATATCAACAGATCTCCTACACTTCCAAGAAACAGATTTCTGCATAACATGAGATATTCAGGGCTACGAAGTTTCAGTTCATAACTAAGCAGGTTTTGTAGAAACTGGCTCATAGTGCACCACATATTATTGAAAGGTCCCTCTCATCATCAGGTGTATGATCAGGGCCCTAATGATGGAGGCAGCAAGCACCTCTGAAATGTCAGTAAACTTCTACCAGACTAAATGGCAAAACAACCCAGAATGTGGCCATATCCATCTATCATTTAAATTAGGTTCATATATGTAAGTAAAGCTGTCCCGCTGTATGCCATAAAGGCGCTTGGGGGGGAGTGGAAGGTATAGCTCCAACTCATTCCTAACCTCCGCACTAGATGGGAGTGAGAGGTCAGCATCACGCCCTTGGAAAGGACCCCGGTACCCATTGGATAGGCTGGGTGGCCCTAGAGCTAGTCTGGATGCAAGAGGCTAGAGGAAAGATCCTCTGCCCCCATTGGGGACTGAACCCTGGTCTTCCAGTCCGTTGCCAGTCACTATACTGACTGAACTACCCTGGCTCACTATATAAAGTTGAATTTCATGTCTTGAAGATACATTTCACACATCATTGTCCTGCAGACCCATGCAATGAAGCAACACCAACTAGGGCAGCTGCTACATTTAAACTGGACCTGGGCCGTTTGTATACAACACTCTGCAATGTCCCAAGCTCAGACCAGACTACATTGCTGCTGTACCTCCTGGTTCACCGCAACCGACATGTCAAGACGTATATCATGTCCCGCTCTGACATAGAACTGTTGGTAAGATTTCAAGAATTTATCAAATTGATAGAGAATTGGCTTGGAAAGAGCACTTTACAAGGGAACAGGAAGTTGTGCATGACTGAAATAGGACAAGTAGTCAGTTCTAAAGATGTTCCAAACCAAATACCATATTTCATCGATTTTAAGACACATTCTTTTTAACATTTGATTTTTAGTTATTACCTTGTATATACACCTTCTGTTACAACTTTAAATTTTTCTTCCACAGTTGTGAAGTTACATTTAATAGAAAGTTCAGCTTTGTGTACCAATGATACATTATGTGTTGCAGGTGGTGCCTGTACTGAAGACTCTGTACCATGCTCCAGATAGCAATTCTCATCATATATATATGTCTCTTATCATCTTGCTCATTCTAAGCGAGGATGACCTCTTCAATAAGACTGTACATGAAATGGCAAGTTACCTCATGTGAGATATTAACATGGCATGTAAGAGTGAGTGTGCACACATGTGTATGTGAATGTGAGTTTTTTTATTTATTTGTGTTGGAAGAAAGAAAAAGTTGGACACTTAAAACAACTTATAGACTACCAGCTCAGTAATAGCACCTATGCGTAGTATTCAGGAGTTCCTGGGTACAAATCTTGGCCTGGATTTCTTTGGTTTCTCTTCGTTCCTCCAGACAGACAGTGACTGCTTCCTTCGACATCCTTTCCAGTTTATCATTTGTTAATAATCCTGTCATTTGACACTATGTAATCTGAGCTACTGACAGTGTTATTACTTAAACTTTAAATAAATAAATTGACTTCAGACCTGTGGGAAGATGAAGACCTAGAAATTTGTCATAAAAACTGCTAGATGGTTACAATCTTGAGGTTGGAATGGGTCATTTATTGGCAGTACTTTTTGACTAAAGAAGATGTTTTGTTTGTGTTGGTTACACCATAACTTTGCTGCTGCACTGAATATGGATTTCACAAACAATGTGTTAGGTATGAACATATTCAGAAGGTTTATGTATTCTGCACTGAAATGTGCCTTTGCAGTCTTGTTGAGGTAGGAAACTGGAAAATAAACTTTTGTACTGTTTGGCAGTCAGTATTTTCTAAATTCAGTGTCACCTTAATATTTTTTTCAGTTTTTATTTTTCCCAAGTACATCTTTGTCACATTTTCAGAGAGAACATTTGTGCATTCTGCAATTAATCTGGCTCTGATAAACATGAATTTATAGTATATACTGTTCTATACAGATGCTGAAGGGGGTGACCTGGTACACAGAACGCTCAATCTCCGAGATCTCATTGGGTGGTCTGCTGGTACTTGTGGTGATCCGCACCATTCAGTACAATATGCTGAAGATGAGAGTAAGTGAAACTTGATGTGTCCAAGCTACTACATGTAATCAGTTTATATAAAACCACACAAATTTTACACATTTGCCCTGCCAGATGATATTCTTGTATTTTGTGTGTAATGTTTTCAGAATGATTGGGAGAGCCTTGCTTTGTATTTTGACTTCAAGGAATGTGCCTTTAGTTTTAGAGTATTTAGGTTGTTGCTTTCCAAACAAAATCTATTAGAGATGTGTTCATGAACAAAACACTTACTGTACAAAGTGGCCAAAGACCCATAAAAATTAATTAGGAAGGGCCTACCTGCATTAGTTTCAGTTAACATGAGACTTGTATGCTTCTGTTATGCCGTGAGAGACTAGTGTATTCTTAAAATTTTTATTATTGTATTTTAGTGCTCAGACACAAGGAGTGAATTTACCTTTTGTAGGGATAAAGGTTTTACCCTGCACAGCTGCAATCTTGTAATTGTAAGCAGAACATTTTATTGGGTTAAGCAACACTTTGGAATGAAGACATGTAACACCATCCTCTGTTCTGATCACATATTGGTCTCTTCATGTATAAATTACCGCTCCATATTTGCATCACTTGTCACTCATTCATTCATGACTTTCTTAAACAAAAAAGTCTAATTCTAAACTCACACAACTTGTAGACCAAGAAGAATTTATTGACTGTTTACTTCATCATTTTAAAACATCACAGCTGTAGTATTAATGAATGTTGCTTTTGCAGGATAAGTATCTTCACACAAATTGCCTGGCTGCACTTGCCAACATGTCAAGTCAGTTCCGATCACTGCATCCATATGTGAGTCAGCGTTTAGTTAGCCTGTTTGAGACTCTTGCAAAGAAACATAATCGCCTTGCTGATCAAATTCAACAGCAGGACGCAGTAGGGTCAGCCCATGTCACAGTTGTCAATATGGAGGACACAGAGAAACCATCAGACTTGGTGAGGCAAGGTGGCAAGCCACTGTGCTCTGCAGATGTGGTTAAGTTTAAGTGTGTTTTACAAAACAGGGTGTTATAGGGTCTCAGAATAAGGGGTGGGCTCTTGTGAACATGGTAATTAAAAATTCATGTTCCATAAAAGGCAGAGAATGTGACTATCAAGGACTCTACTCAGTGAAGTCAGTTAATCAGTCAGGCATTCAGTTATGAAATCAATGAGATGTGTTGATTTTGCAAATGGAATTTTATGTTAAAATTTTTGCATCATGTTGTGACTCAGATGTTTGCTCGCAATGTGTCATCATAAGCTAAAACTCCACTTTCATGACTTATATTCTAGTTTTAGTCATCTTCAACATCTTTGTATGTGTTTTATAGTAATATTATTTTTTACAGAAATATTTCACCTACACAAAAACATTATTTTGGAAGGGTTAAAATGCCCCTTGCTATGCAGTCAGGGGACATTTAAGAGTTGAACCTCATGAATGCAGTTCTTTACTAAAACCACTACACAGTCAAACAAATGTAGAATGGCACAGTCCAGTGTTATGCTTCAGGCATCAGTCATATATCTTTGAATGTTGTTTTAGAGAGGCTTGAGGTGGGAGCATAAAACATAGAAATGTGCAGAAAAAGACATATAAACAGTTGCTCTAAGTGTAGATGTATAACACTTTCATAAGCAAAGAAATTGAGGTTATAATTGAGAATACAAGACCAGTCATACACCAACCATATATTGGTTTCCTTTGTAAAAGTTTTTAAAAGACAAACACAAGACCAGAGGAAGCTTTTTCTTGACTAAAGAAAACTACACGATTTATTAAATAGATTTGATATCTGTTAATCTACCGTTTTTCATGTTTATAGGAACAAATCTTTGCATTTGAAACATGGGATTTTTTCATATGTAAAATTATAACACTGTCAGATTTGTCAGTTTATTTTATTTTGTTTGTTTTACAAAGAATATTTTGTCATAAGTAGTTCCAAATATATGCACACATTTTTCAGTACCAATTGCAAACACTGCAGGAATGAAAGTGTGCCTTGAAATTGGCTGTCAGGTCCACTTCAGTTATATACAACTCTGCACAGTAAATAGTAATTTAATATTTAAATTTGATAAGGTATTGTAGATGCGTCATATTGTGAATAGTATTAAAATATATAAATATTTTAAATAACCGTCAATCACAATAAAATTTAAAGATTAAAAGATTTAAAATATCATATTATGTTCCCTATCGAGTACTCGATAGGGAACATAATATTATGTTATTTTAAATATTTATATATTTAAATTTGAGACATAACTCACTAAATTACAATTCAAGTGTTAATTTTTTTGTAGTGATAAAAGTAATATGTGATTCAAGGTTCAGGACCTTGGTGTCTTGGAAGAGGTTCTGCGCATGGTCTTGGAGATAATCAACTCATGCTTGAGTCACCAGCTGGCACACAACCCTAATTTGGTATACACGCTTCTGTACAAGAAACATGTGTTTGAGCCATTTCACACCCACCCTGCTTTCCAGGACATTGTGCAGAACATTGGTGCTGTAAGTTTGACAGTTCCTGCTGCAACACCAATCATGTTTTTATGATTAAGCAGAGCTTGGGGAAGGTATTCACTGATATCTGATTTCTTGACAGATATTAATGAAACATGCAGCACAGAAAGAATTGCCTCTGTTTTAGATTTAGCTCTGAAAAATAAAGTTTTGACTTTTAAAGTGTAATTAAGTCCAAGCTAGGCAGGAGGGTTTGCAATTTAATGGGTGACTATGTAAATATAATAAAGAGGACACAGAAGTTTTACTAGAGGCTAGTAGACAGGTGGGCTAGAAGTAAATGAGATGAGTTCAAGGAATGATAGAAGCGAGAAAATGTAACATTATTTTATATAGGACATATCAGGGACTGAACAAAACAGGTGATGCATCCGGGAAAACGATAGTTTGGGGAACAATGGATAGAGGTTTCACTGTAATTGGAGATGTCATCTATGTATTACTTTAAATTCTCGGAGCAGATGCTAGCAATATGGATTAGGGTCTTTCATGGTTTATGGGCAAAAGCTATGAGTGTTTCTCTTTCTACTCCTTAGCAGTTCATCATTCACAAAATTATATAATTTCTTATTTTACACATATAACCAATGCAGTTGATAAGCATAATGAAATAAACCTGGAACTTTCATTATGGCATAAAATATGTGGTCACAATCTGTGTGTGTGTGTGGTTATGAGTCTTGGTATGTGTGTGCCTGCATATCATAGCATCCATCTGAAGGTAGTGATGATGTGTGTAGGTGATCCTGTACTTCTCCAGCAGGCTGGACCAAGTTCAGAAGGACTTGAGTGTGGCTGAGGTCCTGGCCACTGTCCAGCATGGGGCCCTTCAATGGCCTAAGGAGAGGCTGAAGGTGATTCTTTGAAATTTCTCACCAATAAGATGAGTTATTTTACTTTATGTTATTTTCATTCTGAAGCATGGGGCTGTCTTATATTCATAAATGAATAAAAATTTTAAAATATCAACAGATTCAATAATGGCTTTGGAAATCAGCTTTATGCTTCTTATATTGTTCTTACTGTTACTACCGTACTTGTACACAGTTTATCCAGTTCTGTATTTTTGTAGTCATTAGATTGTAACTAATAGTCTTACATCTGATGTACATTTCAAAATGCAACATCTATCATACATCATTCAGTATTTCCATCTTATTGCTTCTTTCACTTTTCTTCATTTCTTGAATAGGTCTGATGTTTTAGTTCTTTACGTCGCTGTTCGAAGACCAACTGTCGGTCAAATCTTCATTTTCAAGAATGTGATGTGCTGCTTCTGGAGCAGTGATCATGTGACTGTCTTGGTAGTTGGTGATCTCGTCGTTGTGAAGCGTCATTTGTTTGATGACATCATTGTTTGGCGATGATGACGAATCACTAATTTTATATTATAAGATAATTGATGTGCCTTATAAATGTTGTATGCTTCCAGAAATATAGTGGTACAAGTGAAATTTCCAAATGATGGCTGGTATAGAATTAACAGCCTTGTTGATAGCTGGTGGAATGAAACACCATGTTGCTTTTAAAACATGTTTTAAGTGTCCAGCTTCTGATACAACTAGATGGTGACTTATCATTATGTGTATTATTTATGAACATTTCTGTCAAAGAATTTACAGCTAATAGGATTTTTTGGTTTATTGTAGAAATTCCCAGACCTGAAATTCAGGTATGTGGAAGAAGATGAACCAGAGGACTTTTTTATCCCGTATGTGTGGTCTTTGGTGTGTCAGTCTTCCGGGCTGTATTGGAATCCAGCAAGCATCAAGCTGTTTGCTGCAGACAATGGCTCCCCCTTGGTCTGTTGATTGTTTTGAGAACTGGTGATTTCTGAAATATCTTCATGGTTGTAATTAGTGACATAACTATGAGCATTTGTGCATGACAGTGTTTTTATGAGATACTGTGGCCATACTCATCATGATCCAGTTACTTATGCTGCCATGGCCATAGTCATTAGATACCATATTAATCTTCATTGTGCTATATATATTGAAATAAGAAATGAGAGATGAGTCAAAGCCTGTGAAATCAGAATCATAAAATTGGAAGAGGAAATGTTATGTTTATGCACATTTATATTAGAACATCTATGTAGTGGTTTATTTAGTGTGCATTACCTACTACCGTTCCCTTCACATTTTTGTGTATCATAAAACTGGTTCTTTGTTATATTTTTTCTCTGAGAATGTACTATGTGTATCAATATATCAAATAATAATAAATTGTTAATATATGTTGATACATTTACAGACTTCCAACTTTGAGGACATAAAAGTGAAGGTGACAGCCTTCTGGGATGTTGTGCCATGTAGTCTTGTGGAAGGTAATTGATGTTTCAGAAGTGCCTACTGCCTCCATCATCAGGGCAATCAATAAGCTGCTCACAAAAAAGTAGTTGGTAGAATGGGAAGAGGCTGGACTAGGTTGAAACTTGGCTGAACCAATGGATAAGGGGGCGAGGATCAAGGTAAGGACAGACAGAGCATGGGAGCCAATTGGAGAGTAGGGGTGACCACAGCCTGGGGCAAGGGGGGAGACACAATATGAAACTCGGTTTTGACCTGGGTTAGTCTGCTTTTTTTCTGTGTGTGGCTTACTTATTGACCTGATGCCAGAGATGAATTGCACCTCTGAAACATCAGTCAACTACAAGACTACAGCTCAGTACCCCAGAAAGGTGTAATTTTCATATGCATCACTGTGAGATCCTGAAATGTTATAGATGTAAAAGTGTGCTATAACCATGGTTCAAGAGTTGAAAGACTTGGTGTGTTTAAAAGGCATTCTTGATATGGAATACCTAATTTCATGATATAGTCTTCAAAGTGGAACCATAGTTATCTGATGCCATATGCTTGATTGTTTTCTCAGGGCTCTGTTAGGAAAGAACTTTTAATTTCCCCAAGTCTAATTAATGTAATGACTGTGGCCATTGTCAGTGAAAGACTATAGTCACTTGTGAAATTTATCTCCAGACGCTCATCTACGGTTACTTTGTTCAGTTGTGTCAGTATATATGATTCCTTGCTTATAGTAATATTTGGTCCTCTCTTAGTGTATTCTGGTCTAATCATCATTATACCAAAATACTGTTAATGCCTTTCTTAATGTAATTTTCTATATTATGTGCATATTGAATGTGTTAGAAATATTGTTACATTTATCATTTAAATTTTATTTAATTGTCCAATTGGGGTCAAAATGATATCCCAATATAATCTACTTAATCTGTATGGAGAATGTAAGAATATATTTGTAAATGAATTTAAATTATTATTTTTTTGTGTAAAGAGAATCTCATTTATGTTATTTTTATTTATTCTTAAATTAAGACTGATCTTGCCAGGTACAGGTTTTAATAGATGGCGTTTTGTTGTGTTGTCTAACCTGTTGAAACTTTTTGCCACTGGACTGGAACATGATCCTTTGAATAGTGTAAGAGGTAGCGTGTCAGAACATCAAGAAGTGCAGTAAAATTTCAGAACTTCTTTTAAAATTCTTACTTTGGCAGTTTCTGACATTTTGTTCTAAATTTTTATAGTGGGCTAGTTAGTTAGGATATTGCCTCATCTTTTCCATGTTCCATCTGTTGGGCTGTAGCACTGAGGAAGAAAAAGAAACTTTGGAAACAAGCTGGTGATAACAATATTTAAAAATTCACTTCTTCATCAGTTCACCATTACAAAGATCAACTGGCTGATGCTGTTTATAGAAATAGTTTCTTTTTGTTCTGTGGCCAAAATGCAGAGTTGCTGATTTCTAAAGCAGGTGGCATATGTAATTACCACTAGGCTCTAAAGTGTTAAATGAAGACATATTAGGTGGGCTGGATGCATAGCATGCATTTTGTGAAACAACATATGTTTAAGATTTTTGATTGGATATTCTAATTTTGACAGAACACAGGTGAATGTGAGTTCCTTACAAAACACGTTTTAGAATGGAAATCAGTCTCAGCTGTCAAAAACAGGACCCAGAGGTGATGTTTTCTAAACAAAAATTTCTGTTGGGACCTTATGAAATTCCTGGGTAGTAATCTGATTCTGGTATTATTACACAAAAGTATATTTTCAAATTGTTACTTGTTATGAGAATGTATTCTTTCAAGTATTAAATATTAGTAACTGTTACACTTTTTATTCATAAAATTTGTAATTAGCCAGTGACTGATTTACAAATATGCTATAATGATCAGGTATATTGAAGGTGTAAAAACAACAAAGTTTCCCTGTAAAGCCTAGTAGGAACAAAAGAAATATCCCCACTTGGGAGACCTGAAGGGAGGAGACCGACGGGAAAGCCTAAGCGTGGGTGGGACGATAAAGTTAAGATGGACCTTTGGGAGATAGATACTGTTGGAGCTAACTCAGGATTAGAGTACGATGGCCGGATTTTGTGAACACGATGATGAACCTTTATGTTCCATTACGAAAGTGGGCTATTTTTTGACAACCGAACATACAATACAATCGACTTTTCAAAGATTATACTGCACCATAGAACGAGAGGGGGAGAGAGGGGGAGAACTCTGTGTGTGTGTGTGTGTGTGTGTGTGAGATGAACATCATTTATTGCAACCAATCAGGACACTGAGCGTAGTCGAAGTGTGGTGTGTTGGTATTATCTGTGAATGGTATTATATGTCCTTCCGTGACTGTGCCAGAGAAACCGAGATGTTAGTAGCCCCTCATCAATGAATTTCAGACATACACAATATATAAATTAACTTAGGTAGTTGTGTGTTCTGCCCTTTGGAGACTGAATGTTAACTGTCAGTTTTTGACAGAGAATGATATTGTTCATATAATATCCTCTACCTGAAGAGGAGACCTAACTCATCCACTACCTCGGAATAAAGCTATTAAATTATCTGGACTGTATTTTATTCCTCTAGACGAAACAAAGTTATCGGCGTCTGGCGTACAATTTTAATGGTAGTATATGCGACCAGTCAGTTCCATGTTTTGGAAACAAGTGTGGACAAATTTTCCAGAATAAATGCATGAATGCAACTGAATCGACAACATTTGAAGATGTACAACGATCATGTGATGGTGTTGGGAGATTTTTTGACGTACGTCTATACGGAAGGGTCATTCGGCAAAAAATCGTAATGAAGATGTGTAACGAAGTTGTGTAAGATCCATATCAACAATATGTAAATATGGACCGCCAACAATGGTCAGCTTTTATATGAACTCCTGCGTGCATTGTCATGTTACTCTGTTTACTCGGCAATGTTGTGTTACATTACTGCCGTTAACAATCCGCTTTCGTTATTGCGGAAAGAGCTGAGCTGTGAATCGCTTTTAGAAGTGCGTCGTAGACTAGATAATTTTGTACTTATCTTATATAAGAATACATTACAGAGACGTATTTACGTCAGATTCTACGGAACCGTGGTTCCACTGTCAACTTTTTTATCATCATCATCATAACATTGTTATTAATAGTCCTTAATGCAAATTACTGCATTTGCCATCTGTAAGGGAGAGTTTGAACTATCACGTTGTAAGGATTTTAATTGACACAGTTGACGTATCACGGACTTATAATTTTCTTAAATTAAATGTAGTTTGAACAATTCTTGCATTTAGTTAACGATTCGAAGTTATTAGTGTAGCAGAAACGAAGCGTATCAACTATGCCCATGGTATCGGCGAGGGTAAATTTGTTGCACACCTGATCATGAAAGTTCTTACTTGAAGCAATATGGACGTCGCCGACAAGTTGAAAGAACTAGGGTGGTATGTTTAGTATTTTATCTGTTTAATGCGTTAAAGTGGTACTTTAATTTTCTGCCATATTATTATTATCGACAGATTGAATTTATATGGCAATATTCCTATTATTTTTCATGCGATTTGAACCATTTTCTTATGAACGCTCTAATGAAAAGTTGTTGGTCTTAAGTGTTGCGCTATGTGATATTTTGGCTTAATGCCATAGTTTCGAAAGGACATGCAGCCTTTATGCTGTGGAAGTACATTCCTCCGAAATACTGCATGGTGCAACAACCCAGTTTTTTATTACCATAATAACTTCAGTATTATAGAAGTGTTAACAAAGTAATCAATTTCTGTGCCTCACAGGTTCCTGTCTGCTGAAGGGCTTCAGCAAATTGGTGAAAATGGAAACGTTACAGATATAAAGTCTCTTGCTCTCAAAGCTCTTGATGTAAGTGAACACTTTTCAGCGGTGTGATTCCAGTGCTTTATTTACCAGTTTCACCAGACCTTCAGCATGAGTGGTGTTTTGCATGTATTATATGAGTGTAAGGGGAAGATACTTTTGGCTGCATGTTATGAATTTTTATGAAAGTCCAGTGATCTTTCACATGTTTATTTCCACTGATGGCATGGTGCTTAGTGAAGTACCAGGGACTGTACCTTTACCTTTTAGATTTGATAACAAATAAAATGCATCTTGTTTTGAATCTTTGTGGAATAATTTATGCAAGGAAATCTCAGTACATTTGAAGGATCAACTTCAGTGGGAGAATTATCAGAAGTGGATAGAAAGTGAATTGAAGGTAAGGATGGCAGAAGGTGGTACATGGTGAAGATCACAAAGGAAAAATGGTGTAGTTCCACTTTCTAGCTGGCTGTGAAAAATAAAATGATTTTTTATGTATATAATTTGATACTAATTTCATACATGTGTTTGCTGAAATTATTAGTGTATTTTGCCTTTATGTTGTTTCCTTGTTTATGTTTCAGTTTGATCTCCGGGAAATTGGGGCCGCATCATTTCCAGAGGACATTAATAAAGGAAAACTGGACAGTGTAAGTACTTCTGCAGTGCAGGTATGGGAGTAGACATAGAAACTTACAGGGCCAGAATTGGCACTTTTCCAGGACTACTTTTTGCAGACGATCTAGCAATAAGGTTATTTACAGTTAATGGGTTGCAGAAAGGGATTAACAAAATGAAAAAATACTGTAACAACTGTAATCTAAAATGTAATCTAAAGAAGATCAAAATACCAGTTTGTAAGAAGGGAAAAAATTAAAGAAGAATGAGAGATGGTTCATGGGAAGCTGTGGGCTATTTGTATATCCTCAATTAAATGTTGTGCTCCAGGTAACAAGTAAATTATTCTGGTAGTATATTTAGGCATTTGAAGGGTGTTCCTTAGGAATGTTACCTTAACTCTGTGTTGTCTTCTTAGATTACTATTATGTCAGATGCTGCCATATTATCTCAAGTCTGGATCTTTTCATTGGTCACATTTTTATCTTGAATAATGCCAGTGCATTATTTAAGTGTGAGCCTTTCAGTTTCTTGATATAAAAAACTGCTGTGATTGCATCAGTGGATTGTTCCTCTTGCTTATTAAGTGTTCTTCTTGTAGCCCAAAGTAAACCAAGGTATGAGAAGTTATTCATTGTTTCCAAGTATTAGGATCAGTTTTGGACAGATATTTCCTCTGCCAGCTGTCACTTTGCAGTTACAATAGTCAGAACAAATTGGCCCATTCCATGTCCATGAGAAGTAAGAGGCAAGGGGATCGAAGGGGTTTGGGAGGGGCAACAGGTAAGGAAGCATGTAATTTCCTTGCTATAAACATTATTTTACAGCATCATGACTTTGTAGCTTGCTATCTCATTTCCTGTATGCTAATATCTTTTGTTTGCATAGTATGTGAATTTGTTTCCTTCTATGAGCAAGCTAGTGACATGTGCAAAATGCACACTTTGAAATTTAACATGATTGATTGACATGTGGACAACGGTATATTAACATGTGAAACAAAGTTGTTCACCTTGAGAAGGAAACAGTGGTGGTGTAATAAGCATAATAATTTTTCAGTGTATAGTAAAACTGTTATAAGATATAATGTGAGTAGAATCTGACAGTTGGTTTGCTCCAGCATTATTGTCGTGTCCTTACTACAGAAGGGTGAGGGAGAGGTCACCTAAGCTGCAAAAATGAATGAAGTGTTCTGACCTCTTCCAAGGTTTTTAGACTTATTGGTCATACAGTAGTCATAATATCTGTACATTGTAAGAATATTTGTGTTCATGTTGGAATTCTGCTCACATTCATGTGCTGACATATTCTTCAGATTATTGTATATTTTTTAAATGCTGTATCAATTCTATATAATCTGAGATACTGAAGGAGCCTAGTTAAATAAAATATGAATATTTAAATGAAATTTGTTGATATATTTTTTATATAATTTCCAGAAATTTATTGCATGCGTGATGAATTTTTGTCAAAATTTCAGGTGTTTTGTGAGTTTTCCTGAAACTTGTAATCATTGCATTTAACATACTGTGTTTGGGCAGTATTGAAAACATTGTGTAATAGTTAAAGTTTGTGTAGTGTAATCAGTTTTATCGCAAAGCAATACACAGCCAATACTTTAAATGGATACTTGAAAACATAATTGAAGATTTTGATGAATTGGGGGTATATTATGTTTATATGAAACATTCATTGAAGATTATTTATAAGCATGAAAAACAGGATTTAACATAATCTTATGTGACTGAATTTGCATTTCACTTGTAGTCCTCTGGCCAAAGCCAGTTCATTCCAATTTAGCTAACCTGGAACTTACTATTTTTATTTACTTACAAGAATTAACCACTAGAGAGTGAGATCTTTCCAGAGCAGGTAAAGGTCACATGACCTTCAGAAAATCATCAGTTCTCTGTGTTACGCCACCCATACTATCCATGCTAGTGCACGTGTATGTGCCTCTTGGCTACATTGGAGGTCTCCACACATTCATTTTTTTCATTCCACGGTGGTCTAGCGGTTAGAACGCTGGCCTTGTAATCCTGGGGTCTCGGGTTCGATTCCCGGCGGTGCCTGAATTTATAACTTGTGTTGGGCAAGGCCGTGGTCTAGGCAACACGGAGTTTTCCTCCGTGGCATCCCAACAATTACTCCATTCACACACAGAAGAAGGCAATGGCAAACCACTTCTGATCATCTCTGCCAAGAACGTATATGAACAGGTCCCAGTCCGAGAAAAGGATGGAAGGATCCTGTTCATATGGACCTGTCGTCAGACAGAACACTACAAATAAAAATAAATAAAATGTCACCAGCATCAACTTGGCAGCTTTGCAAGGGACTGCAGTGGGGTTACACTACCCCCATTTACAATATAATTATGAAGTTTGGTGTGGTGGTAGATCTTAAAAATTATGCAGTGCTTTTATGCAGTGGAAGTCTTCCTGATGAAATTTTACTCAAGGATAGGTTACTAATTTATACATTTTTTAGCTTACAGTGTCTTATAGAGGTCTATAATATGGGTTTTCTTCTTCAGTTTTTACAGTTAGCCCTGTGACCTGTTCCAATTCAGAATAAACTTATGTAACTACAAATTCTTTTAGACATTTGATAGGACTTCTTGAACAGAGGATTTGGACTGTCACAGGACCTTTGCATACATAGGACAGTAGAAACATGCAAACAGCCATGCCACAAGTGGGATTTGAATCAGCAGTCACATTGTTCTTGTTTGTCCAAGTGAAGTGACTTCTTTTCTAAAATACACAGGCTTGGTATTCAGATGTGATATTTTAGTTTGATTCTTGTACAGTTAGGGCCATTACTGTATGCAGGTATAGGTATTTAGTTCAGTTTCTATTGAACAGGTAACTAGATGGAATTTTGGCAGGTTAAACATGGAGAAGGACAAAGGTATTAGAACCTTGAATGGAAGTCAGCTTTATAGGTGATTTTTTAAATTACAGTTAATAACTGACAGTGTGTCAATGTACCAGTTTTAATATGTTATTCTTTGCTTATCAATATATGAAATTTCAGATTCCAGGTAAAATAGTAGTTCAGATACAGAAGATTCGCAATGTGTCGGCTCCAAAGGCTAATGAAGAGTCAAGAGCAGCTCCTCGAATGTTGAGATTGACATTGACCGATGGACACAGTTGTTGTCAAGCTGTGGAACTGGAAAGTGTACCAGCACTCAGGTACATGAAAAATAGTCTCTGTGGTGGTCACAATAGTTTGAAGAATCAGAACAGTGGTCTCTTAGAAGTATTCTGGAGAACCCTGGTTTTCACTGAGGGTTTTGCTGATAAATTACCCTAGCAATATTGTAGTATGAATTAAACCTATAGTATAATTAATTCTTTTTAATATATTTTGTCTCCAAGAAAATTATTTTAACTGATTTCTGGCTCACAAATATGAAAAGCATGATTTTGTTCAGTACAGTGGACATTATTTAAAATGAATAGTAAATTATACTTCCTGTTATGGTAATTGTTTTGTTTCAGTCTGAACACACCTCCAGGCACAAAATTATACCTGAGGAATGAATCGCTTCCAATGTCCCATGGTATTCTTCTCCTGAAGTCATCATACATTGAAGTGCTTGGAGGAAGAGTCCCTCCACTAGTGGAAAAATGGGAATTCAACCGGGTATGATGGAAACAAATTCTTTTGTATTATATTTTCTTCATTGTAGTATGTATTTCTGTGAGAAATTAGTGTTGGTTTCTTTTATGTTTGAACTGAGAATAGCATTTTGAAGTATGCATATTTTTCCAGCAATAAAAAATAAATATAAGATGGTTCAATCCACTGTTGTCAGTGAAAATTAAATTTTATTGCAGACCCTGGCAAAGCATACGCGGGGCCGAATAGGTGAGGAAGGAGGGCCTCCTCCGTGGATACCATTTGGACAAAGGATCTTGCGACCAAGTCCGCAAGACCACAATTTTAAGGTATGGTCGTACAGTATCTGTAATTATCAGAATGAGAAGATTGTGAATCAGACTTAAGCTGTAAACATTTAAGTATCTTAAATTGTAGACTGTCTGTTGTTATTCCAATTTTTTCCTCTCACAGAAAAATGTAGATTAAAGAAATTTCAAAATGTGTATTGAAGTATTAAGAGAGAGATTAAATGTGTAGGAGTGTGTGAATGCCTACTTGCATGCATATGTTTGTTAATGTGCATGTCATTCACACATTTGTTGCCAGGCATTTAAAAGCAGGCTGTAATTAAATGCTGGTGCTTGAAGGCAATAGGTGGTGTTCTGTACTTCCTGGAAGAAAAATATATATATTCAGTTCAGTTTGGTTCAGAAAAGGAAAATAAGAACATTTTACATAAAATTTTAGTAAAAAAAAAGTAAAGTAAAGTTTGTCCCACTATACGCCATGTAGGCGTTTGGGGTGAGTGGAGGTATAGCTCCTCTCTTTCTTGACCTCGGCACTAGTTGGGGGTGAGTGGTCAGCATCACGCCCCGGCCGGCTTTACCCCCGGGAAAGGACCCCGGTACCCATTGTAGAGGAGGCTGGGTGGGCCCCAGAGCCGGTCTGGACACAGAGGCTAGAGGAAAAATCCTCTGCCCCCGTCGGGGATCGAACCCCGGCCGTCCAGCCCGTAGCTAGTCACTATACTGACTGAGCTATCCCGGCTAGTAGACTTTGAAAATGTGATACCTTTCCTTCAGGATGCAGGAGAACTCCACACAGGGCATGTAAATATTTTTCTTCATCTTGAACAAGAAAATTAAACTACACCTTTAGTAAGCTTTGAAGTTATGGTGTGTGTAACAGCCTGTAGTAATTAATTGTCTCACTTGCTATATATTGGATGGATTACCAGCACTGTTCAAAAATGGTTTCTTTGTACTTTTTTTGGAAGAGAGCAGACTGCAGAAGATAAAAAAAGAAACCCTTCTTTGTATGCATAATATGAAAGATATTGGTCAGTGTTGTCCACTTCTGTGTGAACAGTGTTATGAAAATCAAGACATTTAGGCTTTGCCTTTCATCTGCCTGCTCTTGTATTGACATCATCTGTATCTTTGTTGTTGTTGTTGTTGTTTATGTTCTGCTGGTGCTCCAGTCTTTTCCCTCCCATGACTGTATTTTCATCAAACACATGAAAACATTCATAAGACCAAGAAGTCGGCTGTGAGTAAACTGAGTATAATGCCATCTAGTAACTTCACAACTGTCTATGATCTGTAGAAAGCATTAAGGTCCAACATTACCATGCATATTAAATACATGGGGTGACAGTGAGGGAGGGGGAATACAAGGGGGGGGGGACCACTTGGCATTTAGTAATGCCCAGCCATGTAAATAAACTGGCAAGCAACCTCTCCTCCTACTTGATGCTGTCTTTCCTGATATGTATGTTGTTAGGGATGGTTTGCTACATTGGTTTTTTTTAAGCTGTAGCAGTGTAAAAGCCTGTCCAATAAATATAATGCCCAGTTCTGGCAGTGAGTGTATTAACATTCTTACTACCATTTCTCGGTGAGTGATACATAATTCCCACAGTTTCTGCATATTTGTATAATAACATAAGACCCAAAGCAGTTCTCTTCTTCACTGGCTGTACAACCCTTGGTGAGTTTTGGCCTCGTTGACAACTGTCCTCCAGACTTCTCTATCCGCTGCTTTTATCCTCCATTCTCTAATTCCCATTGTCGTCAGGTCCGCAATCACATCTTCCATCCATCTCATCCTAGGACGTCCCCTTCTTCTTTTGTTATCAAGTCTTCCTTTTAGCATTCACCCAAAGCAGTTACTAGTTCTAAAATAATTGCTGTGCATGAGACTGTAACAAGCCACTGGGCCTAAGGTGTCTAAGGCTGACAAGGGTGATGAAGTAATTGGTATTAGTGGTAGAGCATTCACAGGTCACAGTGCAAACTGTAATGTTTTCAAACTTACTTTTATCATTTGTATGGTGCAAATATCCATATACATGTATGTCAGTAGTTGTGCAAATATCCACATTTTCCTTCAGCCAATATTGTGCTGACCATATTTCACATTTATCTTGCTCCTTGTTATTTGTAATGTGGCTGGCATATTGCATAGAGTAAGTATTATCATATTTTCGTAAGTATGATACACTTTTTTCTTGTAAATTGCTGCCACAATTTATATTTTATTTTATTTATTTAGTGTTCTGTCTAACGACAGGTCCATATGAACAGGATCCTTCATCCTTTTCTCGGACTGGGACCTGTTCATATACGTTCTTGGCAGATGATCCAGAAGTGGTTTGCCATTGTCTTCTCCTGTGTGTGAATGGAGTAATTGTTGGGATGCCACGGAGGAAAACTCCGTGTTGCCTAGACCACGGCCTTGCCCAACACAAGTTATAAATTCGGGCACCGCCGGGAATCGAACCCGAGACCCCAGGATTACAAGGCCAGCGTTCTAACCGCTAGACCACCGTGGCTATAGCAGATATTTAGTGAGCTGATATTTTTCATTGCTGGAGTCTGTGTCATTTAACATAACCAGAAAAGCGCATGTATTTGGAAAACATTGTGTTATATGAAGCACTTTGAAATTTGTAGTATGGCTGATTGTGAATAGGTTTTTTTATGTGCCACTTCAAGTGTTTTACATTTCCATGGTAACCATTAAGTAGCATTTTCACTGCAAAGTATTTAATGTGAAGTATATGACAGCAATAGGGAAAACTGGAGAGCTCTTTTTGGGCAGAGCAATGGACCTGTCGTAAGACAGAACACTAAATAATAATAATAATAATATGACAGCACATTTTTCAGTGTATCTAAGCACTCACACTTTCTTTGCAGTCTTTGGACAACCATAGAGACAAGGAGAACAAGGAAAATGCTGAGTTTGAGGCCCAGAGAAAGGATGCAATTGCAGAGGCTGCAAGGGGTGGCGCTAAGAAAGTGTTTGGGGGAGGAAATAAACCAGTGAGTTGCTTAATTATAACAAATATAACTGGCACTGAAGGTGGTTGTCTTTGAGTTTTTGTGTTATGTATTATGGTATAAGTTTACCAACATTGCAAAGGTGTTTGCTGCCTCCATTATGAGGGTAATCATAATGCAAGAACACAGAAGACAGCTGTCTTCATACTCACTGTTGTGAGAACTTGAAATCTGATGTAACAGATGCTGTTTTTGCATATTGTGTTATCATATGGGTACAGGAAATACTTGTTTGCATGAGTATATTGTATTTAATTGTAGAATAGTTTCTGTCTTTTGCTTTGGGGCTGTTGTCCCGATTTGTAATTGCCCGTGGTGGTCTTCTGTGTTGTGATGTAATGTGGACTAGCAAGTGGATACCCACGTATGTGTCCAGACCTGTCACAACCCAGAAGACCGCTATGGACTTGATCATTTCTGTGAGAACCTCAAATCTTACATGGTTTGTAATTACCAAAGCATCATCTTCTTTTCATGTATTGGTGTTTTTCTTGTAGCTTTTAGATCACAACGTCCAACAGATTGTAGATCATGGTTTCACAGTAGAACAAGCAGAATATTCTCTCCGACAAAATAGAAATAATGTTGAACGAGCACTTCGAGCACTTCAGGTGAGGACCTTTTTTATATATGTATAGATGGAAGATATCTGTATTATTTATTCCTGTGGTTGTTAGTTTTGTGAACTTAAGATGAAAAATTAAGAAATTATATAGGGATATCCCAGAAGTCATGCAACTGAAAATGTGAAGGTAAATATTTTGTCAGGGTGATAGGAAAATTTCAATTTGCTGTGTCCATTAGCAACATCGGGCAGCTGTCAGTCAAACAAGACAGTGGACTGATGCAGTTTCTTCAAGTTCATTGCTGTGAAGTAAGTTGTTTGTGTGACAACATTGTCATATATAACAGTTAAACAGGCCTATCAGGTGAACTTTCCTGATGTTGCTGTACCAAATAAGTCGACCATTTGTTGTCTTATTAATCTGTGGTGCCACTCTTCACAGAGTTTATATGAATATGTTGAAACATGCTTCCAACAGCTAGTGTAGGCACACATTCAACATATGTTGTAATTAATAATCTTAATATGTATACAGTGAAACCTCGATGCATCGTTTTCGGCGGGGGTGGGAAATAAAAACGATGAATGCGGGAAAACGATAGATGCGGGAAAGCATTAAATTTTTTAAAAAAAACAATGTTTCTCTTTCAAAGTTACTTCTTTTTACCAAAAAAGTCTTTAATGGACAACTGGTTTGTCGAAACTTTACGTTTTAGGCCAAACAG